TCAGCACCTCTACTTCCTGAGGCTATGGTTTATCAGGGGTCCCTAAGCACCTCTACTTCCTGTGGCTATGGTTTATCAGGGGTCCCTAAGCACCTCTACTTCCTGAGGCTATGGTTTATCAGGGGTCCCTAAGCACCTCTACTTCCTGTGGCTATGGTTTATCAGGGGTCCCTCAGCACCTCTACTTCCTGAGGCTATGGTTTATCAGGGGTCCCTCAGCACCTCTACTTCCTGAGGCTATGGTTTATCAGGGGTCCCTCAGCACCTCTACTTCCTGAGGCTATGGTTTATCAGGGGTCCCTCAGCACCTCCACTTCCTGAGGCTATGGTTGCACCATTACATAAGATGTTTACATTATTCCAAACAAAGAATCAACTGATTCGCTTGGTTAGACCAGCTCCTCCATGATTGGACATTTGTTCTTCCGTAATAGCTAACTGACAGCTCTTTCCACCTATGAAATTAGGTGTACACCCTCTGTCAGGGGGCGGATATGGAGAGGTTGGACGGGAATGGAGAGTGGGTGGTATTATGGGTGGGGGTGATGAGGTGTAGCGGTAGAGAGGTAGAGAGGTATAGAGAGGTATAGAGGTAGAGAGGGAGAGAGGTAGAGAGGGAGAGAGGTAGAGAGGGAGAGAGGGAGAGAGGTAGAGAGGTAGAGAGGTAGAGAGGGAGAGAGGTAGAGGGGTAGAGGGGTAGAGAGGGAGAGAGTGTGTGTTTGTGTGTCCCCTCACAGTCCCTGTCGTTCCATGAGTTGTTCTGTGTACAGTTCCATGAGTTGTTCTGTAATCCATTTCTTAAAGGAAATGTTGCTGTTTACTTGAGTAATTAGAGATGGAAGGGAGTTTCATGATTTCATGGCTCTGTATAAAACTGTGCGTTGCCATGAATTCATTTTGGACTTGGGGACTGTGAAGAGACCCCTGGTGGCATGTCTTGTGGGGTATGTATGGGGGTCTGAGCTGAATGTTATTTGATTATGCATCAGAAATTTCCATACACAGAAAAAGCTTATTTCTCTAAAACGTTGTGCACAAATTTGTTTACATTCCTGCTAATGAGCATTTCTCCTTTGCCAAGATAATCCATCCACCTGACAGGTGTGGCACGTCCAACCGGCCTCACAACTGCAGACCACGTGTAACCACGCCAGCCCAGGACCTCCACATCCGGCTTCTTCACCTGCAGGATCATCTGAGACCGGCCACCCGGAGAACTGATGAAACTGTGGGTTTGCACAACCAAAGAATTTATCCACAAATTATCAGAAACTGTCTCAGGGAAGCTCATCTGCGTGCTCATCGTCCTCACCAGGGTCTTGACCTGACTGCAGTTCGGCGTCGTAACCGACTTCAGTGGGCAAATGCTCACCTTCGATGGCCACTGGCATGCTGAAGATGTGTGCTCTTCTAATGAATCCCAGTTTCAACTGGACCGGGCAGATGGCAGACAGCTTGTTTGGCATCATGTGGGTGAGTGGTTTGCTGATGTCAACGTTGTGAACAGAGTGCCCCATGGTGGCGGTGGGGTTATGGTATGGACAGGCATAAGCTATGGACAACAAACACAATTGCATTTAATTGATGGCAATTTGAATGCATAGAGATACCGTGACTAGATCCTGAGGCCCATTGTCGTGCCATTCATCCGCCTCCATAACCTCACGTTTCAGCATGATAATGTATGGCCCCATGTTGCAAGGATCTGCACACAATTCCAGGAAGCTGAAAATGTCCCAGTTCTTCCATGGCCTGCATACTCACCAGACATGTCACCCATTGAGCATGTTTGGGATTTACATTTACATTTTAGTCATTTAGCAGATGCTCTTATCCAGAGCGACGTACAGTTAGTGAGTGCATATATTATTATTTATAATTTGTTTTATACTGGCCCCCCGTGGGAATCAAACCCACAACCCTGGCGTTGCAAACACCATGCTCTACCAACTGAGCTACATCCCTGCCGGCCATTCCCTCCCCTACCCTGGACAACGCTGGGCCAATTGTGCGCCACCACATGGGTCTCCCAGTCGCACTGGATCTACGTGTATGACAGCGTGTTCCAGTTCCCACCAATATCCAGCTACTTTGCACAGCCATTGAAGAGGAGTGGGACAACATTCCACAGGCCACAATCAACAGCCTGATCAACTCTATGTGAAGGAGATGTGTTGCGCTGCATGAGGCAAATGGTGGTCACACCAGATACTGACTGGTTTTCTGATCCACGGCCCTACCTTTTCTTTTAAGGTATCTGTGACCAACAGATGCATATCTGTATTCACAGTCATGTGAAATCCATAGATTAGGGCCTAATGAATTTATTTCAATTGACTGATTTCCTTATATGGGGGATTAGTAGTGACAGTCAATATGCTAGTAATGGGGATTAGTACTGACAGTCAATATGCTAGTAATGGGGATTAGTACTGACAGTCAATATGCTAGTAATGGGGATGAGTAGTGACAGTCGATATGCTAGTAATGGGGATTAGTACTGACAGTCAATATGCTAGTAATGGGGATTAGTACTGACAGTCAATATGCTAGTAATGGGGATTAGTACTGACAGTCAATATGCTAGTAATGGTGATTAGTAGTGACAGTCAATATGCTAGTAATGGGGATTAGTACTGACAGTCAATATGCTAGTAATGGGGATTAGTACTGACAGTCAATATGCTAGTAATGGGGATTAGTACTGACAGTCAATATGCTAGTAATGGGGATTAGTAGTGACAGTCAATATGCTAGTAATGGGGATTAGTAGTGACAGTCATTATGCTAGTAATGGGGATTAGTACTGACAGTCATTATGCTAGTAATGGGGATTAGTAGTGACAGTCAATATGCTAGTAATGGGGATTAGTACCGACAGTCAATATGCTAGTAATGGGGATTAGTACTGACAGTCAATATGCTAGTAATGGGGATTAGTACTGACAGTCAATATGCTAGTAATGGGGATTAGTAGTGACAGTCATTATGCTAGTAATGGTGATTAGTAGTGACAGTCAATATGCTAGTAATGGGGATTAGTACTGACAGTCAATATGCTAGTAATGGGGATTAGTACTGACAGTCAATATGCTAGTAATGGGGATTAGTAGTTACAGTCAATATGCTAGTAATGGGGATTAGTAGTGACAGTCAATATGCTAGTAATGGTGATTAGTAGTGACAGTCAATATGCTAGTAATGGGGATTAGTACTGACAGTCAATATGCTAGTAATGGGGATTAGTACTGACAGTCAATATGCTAGTAATGGGGATTAGTACTGACAGTCAATATGCTAGTAATGGGGATTAGTAGTTACAGTCAATATGCTAGTAATGGGGATTAGTAGTGACAGTCAATATGCGTCCCAAATGGCCCCCTATACCCTATTTAGTGCACTACTTTTGACCAGGGCCCATAGAGAATAGGGTGCCATTTGGGACACATATCTGCGTTTTGGGGGGATGCTTCTCTTCCCTGCCGCTTGACTCACTGTCTGTATTCAGCCTGTACTGGCTGGTTTTGAGTCAAAGCAGGTTTACCCTGCATTCATGTACATATCTACCTCAGTGGCGGCCGCTGATTGGCTGAATACCCGGGGCGTGAGATGGTTAGAGTTGTCAGCAAAGCAGCATGACAGAAATATGATGCCAATTTTTCAAACTACCGTAGTTTATTTTGAGAAGGTATATAAAGTGATCTGTGCATTTGAACAACAGCATAAATACATCTATTTCACTTTTGCATGGCAAAAAATGAATGACCACTGCCGCACATGCTGCCACTGTTTTGAACAGATTAGATGATACTATTTAAAACGAGCAGCCAGCTCACGTCATGAACAAACGAGTGCACCAGGGAGAACGGTTGTCCCTAGTGGCTGTGGTAACTAGTGGAAACCAGGGAGAACGGTTGTCCCTAGTGGCTGTGGTAACTAGTGGAAACCAGGGAGAACGGTTGTCACTAGTGGCTGTGGTAACTAGTGGAAACCAGGGAGAACGGTTGTCCCTAGTGGCTGTGGTAACTAGTGGAAACCAGGGAGAACGGTTGTCCCTAGTGGCTGTGGTAACTAGTGGAAACCAGGGAGAACGGTTGTCCCTAGTGGCTGTGGTAACTAGTGGAAACCAGGGAGAACGGTTGTCCCTAGTGGCTGTGGTAACTAGTGGAAACCAGGGAGAATGGTTGTCACTAGTGGCTGTGGTAACTAGTGGAAACCAGGAAGAACGGTTGTCCCTAGTGGCTGTGGTAACTAGTGGACACCAGGAAGAACGCAACAAGCATACAGATGCAGTAAGTGAAAACACATTATCTAACTTGGGATAGCTAGCTAACATAATGTTAGCCAGTTAACTTTCATTCTGAAATAACTTCAGATTTCTGAGTTAGTCAGACATTAGTTTAGAAAGACTTGAAATTGGCACGGGAGCTAACTAGCTAGCAAGCTACCAGCTAGCTGCTTATCAAAGGTAGATAACTGGTTAATTTGACACAAAAAAAAATCGCTCAAACAATTTCTCTATGTTTCTCAATTACTGGAGCTGGCTAATTAATGTTATGCTTTGTGATACACCTGGTTTTATGCTGTTTTAGCCTACACAACATGTTATCCTGTCACCTGCAGTACAGCCTGATGACCAACAGGGGAGGAATGTGGGGATGTGTTACTATTTCTTTATTTCTTATATGTATATTTTGACTCTGCATCGTTGGGAAGGGCTCGTCATTCAGTGTGTCATAGGATAGTCTGTTGTATTCGATGCATGTGACAAATACAATGTGATTTAGGTCCACATAGAAACATCCACACCTTTCAAAACACACACACACATCCCTACGCACACACACAATACACACACCCACATAATACCCAATGCCCAGTGCTCAGTCATCTATATTAAAGTCCTGCTGACTGACTGCTGTTACTGCCAGGAAGAGGGTGTGGACTTAACTGGCTGGTTAAACATTCCAGTGCTTAAATACAGAACCCTTCCTTTCTCTCATTCAACAGCAGACTGACCCGGACCACAGAGGATAGCTAACGGTAATCTGTCTCTCTCTGTCTCTCTCTGTCTCTCTCTCTCTGTCTCCCTCTGTCTCTCTCTCTGTCTCTCTCTGTCTCTCTCTCTCTGTCTCTCTCTCTCTGTCTCTCTCTCTCTCTCTCTCTCTCTCTCTCTCTCTCTCTCTCTCTCTCTCTCTCTCTCTCTCTCTCTCTGTCTCTGTCTCTGTCTCTGTCTCTCGCTCTCTATCTCTCTCGGAGAGCTAACAGCTTCATCTAACTCCACAGGATAGTCTTCTAACTCCAGAGGAAACCATAAGACCATGGCTCCCCAGTTGTTGATGTTGTCTCTGGTCTCAGCTCTCTACCTGGTGGCTCAGGGACAGGAGCAGCCTCAACCCATAGAGGAGGAACTCATCACAGCCAGTAAGTACTGTGGACTAGCCTACCTTACTTTACGCTAACCTTGCCTTACCTTACACTAATCTTACCTTATCCTAACCTTCCCTTACTGTACCTTAGCCTAACCTTACCTTAGTGTACCTTACCCTAACATTACCTTAGTGTACCTATCCCTAACCTTCCCTTAGTGTACCTTACCCTAACATTACCTTAGTGTACCTTACCCTAACCTTCCCTTACTGTACCTTACCCTGACCTTACCTTAGTGTACCTTACCCTAACATTACCTTAGTGTACCTATCCCTAACCTTCCCTTACTGTACCTTACCCTAACCTTACCTTAGTGTACCTTACCCTAACCTTACCTTAGTGTACCTTACCCTAACATTACCTTAGTGTACCTATCCCTAACCTTCCCTTACTGTACCTTACCCTAACCTTACCTTAGTGTACCTTACCCTAACATTACCTTAGTGTACCTTACCCTAACCTTCCCTTACTGTACCTTACCCTAACCTTACCTTAGTGTACCTTACCCTAACATTACCTTAGTGTACCTATCCCTAACCTTCCCTTAGTGTACCTTACCCTAACATTACCTTAGTGTACCTTATCCTAACCTTCCCTTACTGTACCTTACCCTAACCTTACCTTAGTGTACCTTACCCTAACATTACCTTAGTGTACCTATCCCTAACCTTACCTTACTGTACCTTACCCTAACATTACCTTAGTGTACCTATCCCTAACCTTACCTTAGTGTACCTTACCCTAACATTACCTTAGTGTACCTATCCCTAACATTACCTTACTGTACCTTACCCTAACATTACCTTAGTGTACCTATCCCTAACATTACCTTACTGTACCTTACCCTAACATTACCTTAGTGTACCTATCCCTAACCTTACCTTAGTGTACCTTACCCTAACATTACCTTAGTGTACCTATCCCTAACCTTACCTTACTGTACCTATCCCTAACCTTACCTTACTGTACCTTACCCTAACCTTACCTTAGTGTACCTACCCTAACCAGCCAGTAGTAGTGTTGTGATATGATACTAGCTGAATCTAAACACAGCAATACACTGAGCTGATTCTGATGAGCTAAACTTGATCTGTTTATTCAATTAATGCCTGTTCACTGACTGGTCCACTGACTGGTCCACTGACTGGTCTACTGACTGGTCCACTGACTGGTCCACTGACTGGTCCACTGACTGGTCTACTGACTGGTCCACTGACTGGTCCACTGACTGGTCCACTGACTGGTCCACTGACTGGTCCACTGACTGGTCCACTGACTGGTCTACTGACTGGTCCGCTGACTGGTCCACTGACTGGTCCACTGACTGGTCCACTGACTGGTCTACTGACTGGTCTACTGACTGGTCCACTGACTGGTCACTGCGGTCACTGACTGGTCTACTGACTGGTTCCACTGACTGGTCTACTGACTGGTCCACTGACTGGTCCACTGACTGGTCTACTGACTGGTCCACTGACTGGTCCACTGACTGGTCCACTGACTGGTCCTTACTGACTGGTCCACTGACTGGTCCACTGACTGGTCCACTGACTGGTCCACTGACTGGTCCACTGACTGGTCCACTGACTGGTCTACTGTGGACTAGATTCAATCTTCAGGTGATTCATGAAATGGTTCAATACCTTAATCCAAACCCCGCTCATTTGAAGATTAATTAAAATGTTTGATGTCAACAGGAGGGGAACTAGCAAGACATAGAGGGTTAAAAGTCTGGTTGCTCTGGTGGCAGTGAAACATTTAAAGGGGCAATCCGGGATTGGTGCCATTTTGGACTTTACATTTTTCTTAAACCATCCAAACAATTGGTATATATATTTTTGGCCTCCTTAACTTTTTTTGAATCCCCAAATGCCATTTTAAGGTTGTTTGAAAACCCCTGTCTGTTGTCCAGACATAAATGACTCTCAGAAATGCCAGAGCAGTTGATGTCATATGTTGAGCTGGGCAGAAGCACACGGGAGAGAACTTTTTTTGGGCAGACTTTTTTTTTTTTACCACAATATTGACGCCATCCTGCCCACTCAGCTCTCTGGTTCCTATGAGTCAGAAGAGTTGGACTGTGTTGCTGTTCTGTTTTTCCTGACTGCTCCTGCTGCTGGGTAAGCCTTTAGTATAGGAGTTAGCTTCATAACCTCACAGTGGACCAGCCTCAAATGTCTCCAATCCCGCTTTCCAACCGCTACCTTTTCTTTAGTGTAATTGACTAAGACGAGGTCAAGCGGGCGGTCACATGTGTTTGCGAGACAGAAGATCCTTGGTTCGAGCCCAGTAAGGGACATGGGAAAAAAAGCAATACCATAGCCTTGGGAAGTAGGGGTGCTGAGGGTGCAGAATTAAAAAACAAGTAGTGTACTGGTCCTTTACTAGTCCTGTATTAATGTAGTGTACTGGGCCTTTACTAGTCCTGTATTAATGTAGTGTACTGGTCCTTTACTAGTCCTGTATTAATGTAGTGTACTGGGCCTTTACTAGTCCTGTATTAATGTAGTGTACTGGGCCTTTACTAGTCCTGTATTAATGTAGTGTACTGGGCCTTTACTAGTCCTGTATTAATGTAGTGTACTGGGCCTTTACTAGTCCTGTATTAATGTAGTGTACTGAGCCTTTACTAGTCCTGTATTAATGTAGTGTACTGGTCCTTTACTAGTCCTGTATTAATGTAGTGTACTGGGCCTTTACTAGTCCTGTATTAATGTAGTGTACTGGTCCTTTACTAGTCCTGTATTAATGTAGTGTACTGGGCCTTTACTAGTCCTGTATTAATGTAGTGTACTGGGCCTTTACTAGTCCTGTATTAATGTAGTGTACTGGGCCTTTACTAGTCCTGTATTAATGTAGTGTACTGGGCCTTTACTAGTCCTGTATTAATGTAGTGTACTGAGCCTTTACTAGTCCTGTATTAATGTAGTGTACTGGGCCTTTACTAGTCCTGTATTAATGTCGTGTACTGGGCCTTTACTAGTCCTGTATTAATGTAGTGTACTGGGCCTTTACTAGTCCTGTATTAATGTAGTGTACTGGGCCTTTACTAGTCCTGTATTAATGTAGTGTACTGGGCCTTTACTAGTCCTGTATTAATGTAGTGTACTGGGCCTTTACTAGTCCTGTATTAATGTAGTGTACTGGTCCTTTACTAGTCCTGTATTAATGTAGTGTACTGGTCCTTTACTAGTCCTGTATTAATGTAGTGTACTGGTCCTTTACTAGTCCTGTATTAATGTAGTGTACTGGGCCTTTACTAGTCCTGTATTAATGTAGTGTACTGGGCCTTTACTAGTCCTGTATTAATGTAGTGTACTGGGCCTTTACTAGTCCTGTATTAATGTAGTGTACTGGGCCTTTACTAGTCCTGTATTAATGTAGTGTACTGGGCCTTTACTAGTCCTGTAGTGATTATAGCCGTCTGTATATCGGTCCCCCCCCCCGACAAACATCTTCCCACCACAATGAACAATACTGTTAATCAAGCGCAGCGACGCTGTTCCACTTGCTACTAAACATGTAGGTGGTCTCAGTCTCAACGCGTTCCTCTCTTCTGTTCAGCTCCATCTAACTGAGTCTGTGTGTTTGTTGTGGTTGTAGAGAACATCCAGCCTCTGGGTGGCTGGTTCAACAGAGACCCAGAGAGCCCGGAGATACAGACTGCTGCTAAAGCTGCCGTGGAGGCGTTTAACAGCCAGTCTAATGCCAGGAAATACTTCAGACTCATCAACGTCATCTCTGCTGAGACACAGGTGACATCATAATCATACTCTACTTCCTGTATAGTGCACTACTTTTCCCATTTTGGACACATTCCTATCCTTCTTGCTACCTCCCTTTACATGATACAGTCCTTTACACACCTTCTGCTAGTAATGGAAGGATTGGATAACATTCATTTTATATAGTTGTACATCACTGAACTTTTCATGAAAAAAAACATCTCTCATTATTAGTTAATTTAGTCAACTAAAAAGCTGATGTCAATAGGGTTGTTAGGTTGTTTTTCCTAAGGCTCTCCTTTATATGACCAACACAGGTGACTAACAAGATCAACTATAAGATTGAGGCGACCATCGGGAAGACCAAGTGCCTCAAAACCGAGCACAACTCTGATGTGGAGTCCTGTGTTCTGGGGAAAAGGGTGACTTTTCTAAATATTTACATTTACAGCTTTGTCGTTACGGGCGGCAGGTAGCTTAGTGGTTAAGAGCGTTGTGCCAGTAACCGAAAGGTCGCTGGTTCTAATCCCCAAGCCGACTAGGTGAAAAATCTGTCGATGTGCCCTTGAGCAAGGCACTTAACCTTAATTGCTCATGTAAGTCGCTCTGGATAAGAGCGTCTGCTAAATGACTAAAATGTAAATGTAAAAATTTAGCAGATGCTCTTATCCAGAGCGACTTACAGTTAGTGAGTGCATTTTTTTTTTTTTTTTTTTACTACATGTATTTTCTGATGCTCATAAATTTACAGACCAAGGAATACAGATATACTGTATGGAACTTAAAAACGGTATTTGTGTTCCAAATGGCACCCTGTTCTCTATATAGTGCACTACTTTTGACCAGAGTAGTGCACTATATAGGGACTAGGGTGTCATTTGGGACACTGGGTTACATAAGTGTAATTATTACATAAGTGCCTCTGCATTGGGAAAGCTCCAGATTTAGCAGCTTTTTCCTTTTAATGGAGAGATTTTTAGCACTTAATGCAGATACTGAGCTGGGTATTAGAACCGTATACTTATGTAAGTAAAAAACTAAAATGTTATAGCTTGCAGTACATATACAGTACTTGCCTGGGGGTACCAGACTGGTTTGTGTTATCAGACATGTTGGTAACAATAGCACAAACAGGTCTGGTACTTGGCCTATACAGACAGTACACCATGTAATATTGACCTCATAGATCACAGCATATGTACAGTATATTGACATTAATGTGACATCGTTTGTTTGTTTTACAGCGTCTGACATGTACGTTTGAGGTGTGGTTTAACCCTCGTAATGACAAGCACGAGCTCTCCGCCTCCTCCTGCCAGAAGTAAGACTGACTCCAGATCAGTTTCAACCAACAACTACATGATCTGTCCTCTTCCTCCTGTAATAAGTAACACTGACTCCAGACCAGCCATCAGCGTCTACTGACTACCTGAACACAACAATGGCTATCTACAGAGTTACGCTACAACGGCATGCTTAGTCGTTGAATGACTCAACTTTTTAAAACTGCACAGATTTATTTTGCTGTGATTCTGTTTCTAATAAAATTGCTTAAACTGACATTATTTAAGGATCTATTTTTTTGTGTGGTTTAATCATATGATTTTGGGTGAAACGTTATCAGTGGATGACCAGAGAAATTCATTTTGCTCTAGGACAGAGATGACAGAGTTCCCTATTAGGACAGAGATGACAGAGTTCCCTATTAGGACAGAGATGACAGAGTTCCCTGCTGGGACAGAGATGACAGAGTTCCCTATTGGGACAGAGATGACAGAGTTCCCTATTGGGACAGAGATGACAGAGTTCCCTGCTGGGACAGAGATGACAGAGTTCCCTGCTGGGACAGAGATGACAGAGTTCCCTATTAGGACAGAGATGACAGAGTTCCCTATTGGGACAGAGATGACAGAGTTCCCTGCTGGGACAGAGATGACAGAGTTCCCTGCTGGGACAGAGATGACAGAGTTCCCTATTAGGACAGAGATGACAGAGTTCCCTATTGGGACAGAGATGACAGAGTTCCCTATTAGGACAGAGATGACAGAGATCCCTATTAGGACAGAGATGACAGAGTTCCCTGCTGGGACAGAGATGACAGAGTTCCCTGCTGGGACAGAGATGACAGAGTTCCCTGCTGGGACAGAGATGACAGAGTTCCCTATTAGGACAGAGATGACAGAGTTCCCTGCTGGGACAGAGATGACAGAGTTCCCTGCTGGGACAGAGATGACAGAGTTCCCTACTGGGACAGAGATGACAGAGTTCCCTACTGGGACAGAGATGACAGAGTTCCCTACTGGGACAGAGATGACAGAGTTCCCTACTGGGACAGAGATGACAGAGTTCCCTATTAGGACAGAGATGACAGAGTTCCCTGCTGGGACAGAGATGACAGAGTTCCCTATTAGGACAGAGATGACAGAGTTCCCTGCTGGGACAGAGATGACAGAGTTCCCTGCTGGGACAGAGATGACAGAGTTCCCTACTGGGACAGAGATGACAGAGTTCCCTACTGGGACAGAGATGACAGAGTTCCCTACTGGGACAGAGATGACAGAGTTCCCTACTGGGACAGAGATGACAGAGTTCCCTATTAGGACAGAGATGACAGAGTTCCCTACTGGGACAGAGATGACAGAGTTCCCTATTAGGACAGAGATGACAGAGTTCCCTACTGGGACAGAGATGACAGAGTTCCCTGCTGGGACAGAGATGACAGAGTTCCCTACTGGGACAGAGATGACAGAGTTCCCTATTAGGACAGAGATGACAGAGTTCCCTATTAGGACAGAGATGACAGAGTTCCCTGCTGGGACAGAGATGTGCAGGGAGGCTCTTACTGCTGCTGCTTTAAGGAGTGGAATATATGGCGTAGCAGTGTGGTCGTGAACTCTGTAGTGTGTCCGTGTAAATAGCCTGTTTTTTGTTTTTTGTCTCTTTCATATATACACTGCTCAAAAAAATAAAGGGAACACTTAAACAACACAATCTAACTCCAAGTCAATCACACTTCTGTGAAATCAAACTGTCCACTTAGGAAGCAACACTGATTGACAATACATTTCACATGCTGTTGTGCAAATGGGATAGACAACAGGTGGAAATTATAGGCAATTAGCAAGACACCCCCAATAAAGGACTGGTTTTGCAAGTGGTGACCACAGACCACTTCTCAGTTCCTATGCTTCCTGGCTGATGTTTTGGTCACTTTTGAATGCTGGCGGTGCTTTCACTCTAGTGGTAGCATGAGACGGAGTCTACAACCCACACAAGTGGCTCAGGTAGTGCAGCTCATCCAGGATGGCACATCAATGCGAGCTGTGGCAAGAAGGTTTAATGTGTCTGTCAGCGTAGTGTCCAGAGCATGGAGGCGCTACCAGGAGACAGGCCAGTACATCAGGAGACGTGGAGGAGGCCGTAGGAGGGCAACAACCCAGCAGCAGGACTGCTACCTCCGCCTTTGTGCAAGGAGGAGCAGGAGGAGCACTGCCAGAGCCCTGCAAAATGACCTCCAGCAGGCCACAAATCTGCATGTGTCTGCTCAAACGGTCAGAAACAGACTCCATGAGGGTGGTATGAGGGCCCGACGTCCACAGGTGGGGGTTGTGCTTACAGCCCAACACCGTGCAGGACGTTTGGCATTTGCCAGAGAACACCAAGATTGGCAAATTCGCCACTGGCGCCCTGTGCTCTTCACAAATGAAAGCAGGTTCACACTGAGCACATGTGACAGATGTGACAGAGTCTGGAGACGCTGTGGAGAACGTTCTGCTGCCTGCAGCATCCTCCAGCATGACCGGTTTGGCGGTGGGTCAGTCATGGTGTGGGGTGGCATTTCTTTGGGGGGGCCGCACAGCCCTCCATGTGCTCGCCAGAGGATGCCTGACTGCCATTAGGTACCGAGATGAGATCCTCAGACCCCTTGTGAGACCATATGCTGGTGCGGTTGGCCCTGGGTTCCTCCTAATGAAAGACAATGCTTGACCTCATGTGGCTGGAGTGTGTCAGCAGTTCCTGCAAGAGGAAGGCATTGATGCTATGGACTGGCCCGCCCGTTCCCCAGACCTGAATCCAATTGAGCACATCTGGGACATCATGTCTCGCTCCATCCACCAACGCCACGTTGCACCACAGACTGTCCAGGAGTTGGCGGATGCTTTAGTCCAGGTCTGGGAGGAGATCCCTCAGGAGACCATCCGCCACCTCATCAGGAGCATGCCCAGGCGTTGTAGGGAGGTCATACAGGCACGTGGAGGCCACACACACTACTGAGCCTCATTTTTACTTGTTTTAAGGACATTACATCAAAGTTGGATCAGCCTGTAGTGTGGATTTCCACTTTAATTTTGAGGGTGACTCCAAATCCAGACCTCCATGGGTTGATAAATTTGATTTCCATTGATAATTTATGTGTGATTTTGTTGTCAGCACATTCAACTATGTAAAGAAAAAAGTATTTAATAAGATTATTTCATTCATTCAGATCTAGGATGTGTTATTTTAGTGTTCCCTTTATTTTATTGAGCAGTGTATTTCTCAATCACACTTTTCATTCTCCAACTAAATATACTTTCCTGCAACCCGCCTCACCCAATGTGGAACGGATTCTATTATTTATTTTACCATTTTATCCAGAACCTCCGGTTGAAACTAGCCAGCTAGCCAGCTAACTAGCTAACTAGCTACTTGCTATTAGCCGCCGTTAGCAGTTTTCACCATTGTCCATGGCCTGCACTACCTACCAGCCAGCTCTAGCCTGGAATATTATCGGCCAGTCTGCACTCTCTGCACAGCGCGCTATCGACCAAGAACATATCGGATTTTCTGCTGGAATCACTGAATCACTGGACCTTAACACCAGATCATCGCAACTAGCTAGCTGCAACCAAATGGCTGTTGTTGGCTAATCACCACTTCTTGACGTACCAGTTAGCCTTGAGCTAGCCTCGAGCCAGGCCCATCTCCCGGCTATCTACCTCTCTGTCAACCGGACGGGACCTCCTAGTGTCGACACCGAGCCCCGCCGATCCATCACGACCGGTCTGCCGACGTAATCGTCTGATGTGGTTTCAACAGGCTTCCCATTGCGACGACCACGAAGATCCATCTGCTAGCCCCGGCCCGCTAGTACTCCCATGTCAATATGCCTTGCCTATTGCTGTTTGGGTTAGTTCTTATTATACAATTTCACTGTAGAGCCCCGTGTCCTGTTCAACCAGCCTCAGGGAGCTCCTTTGGGAGGGGGGGGGGGGGGGGGGTGTCAACCGTGCCCGTAATTGATTTAGGCTTATCCATAATGGTTTATTTGGGGTATCAGGTTGATTGTGGAGGTCTGCACACTGCGAAATGTATAGTAATTTAGACTAAGAATGCATTGAGATACCAATCTGTCATTACCACAAGTGATGAGAAAACTTAATGCTAGAAAAACAAGATGAAAATACTGTATGTCAATGTAAATGTACATTCTGCCAGTATCGGTGTGTGCTAAGTTGAGGGTCTTAAATTAAGGTGATAGGACCAACGTGAAGCCCTAAGGACTGTCATTCTAAATTTGGGTTGGAAAATGTATCAATAGTTATAATTATGATTTGTAAAGGCAAGGCTTCTAGAGACAGAGCAATGCCCCTAAACTGTGAGGAGAGACACTAGATTATTGTAATGAATACTCAGGGAGAAAAAGGTGTAGAGTCATGCGCAGAGCGCGGCAGGTGTTTATTTCGCCTTTGCAGAAGGCAGGAATCGTGGTCACAGGCAGGCAATGGTCATACACAGGTAGGCAAACAGGCAGGAGAATCAAAAACTAGGACTGAAGGCTATAACTGGTTCTCACAAACGAGCTAGGAAAAGGCTTAGTAGAGTCAAAACGAACAATACCTCACAAGGCACAAACAGAAAGAGCTGATGAGACCAGGTGAGTAACTAACACAGGTGAAATCAATGAACAAAAATGAAAGACAGGGCTACGTTCAAGAACACAAAGAGACAGGGCTACGTTCAAGAACACAAAGAAACAGGGCTACATTCAAGAACACAAAGAAACAGGGCTACGTTCAAGAACACAAAGAGACAGGGCTACGTTCAAGAACACAAAGAAACAGGGCTACATTCAAGAACACAAAGAAACAGGGCTACATTCAAGAACACAAAGAAACAGGGCTACGTTCAAGAACACAAAGAGACAGGGCTACGTTCAAGAACACAAAGAAACAGGGCTACATTCAAGAACACAAAGAAACAGGGCTACGTTCAAGAACACAAAGAAACAGGGCTACGTTCAAGAACACAAAGAAACAGGGCTATGTTCAAGAACACAAAGAAACAGGGC